ATGTCAGACTCAGAGACTTGGCAGCAGACAGAAGCCACGCAGCACAGAGAGGCGTACACGGCGAAAGCCCTAAAACCGAAACCCTATATCCTAAAATCTTAAGCCATTGACCCTGACTCAACATCGCAAGACGAAAACCCAAGACTAAACTTCTGCCCCGGCGCTGGAGGAAGACCAAGTCAGACTGGAAGCTGGTATGCCCCCTGCCTGAGCTTCGGTGGTTGGGGGTTTTCGGCTTGGCGGCTTCAGGTTTATCTGTATCTTTGGCTAAGGGTTCGGTTTAGGGTTTGGGGCCTGAGGTTTAGGGATCGTTAGAGAAGTATCAGAGAAGAGGGCATGCGCAAAGGGGGGGCATGTGATGGAGGACGGAGAGCTTGTTTGGATTTTGTGGCGTTACGCAACGGGCTTAGGGGTTCAGGGTTTTGTGTTCAAGCTGACTATCACTAAACCCTAAACCCTAACTACTAAAGGGTACTTTATAGGAACCCCCTTAAGGGATCTACTTTTTGGATCCCCTCAACTCTTGCGGCTTTAGGGGTTTCGGGTTTCGGATCAGTCGGCTGTCCATTTTTCTTCGGGCCCTGGAGATTCGAAGGAAGTTAGAGTTCCGCCATGGCAAACGGAAGTTTAGTTAAGGTTCAGATATAGGGGTAAGACTATCTCTTTATAGTCCGTATATACTGTATGATACGACATTATACCCTAAACCCTAAACCGTGTATACACCAAGGCCTTATATTTTACCACATTAGAGCAGCCCAGGACTGGTATTCTGGTGAAGCTAGATGAGCACGAGGATGCCTTCCTGGAGTTTGACGCCTTCGAAGCCAGACAGTGGGTCTTCCAGAAGAGCTTCGATCAGAAATAGGTTCTGTTTCGCAAAACATTATAAGGGTTTATTTATAGGATCTAGGATTAAGCTTGAATTGATGGTGAGTTGTTTCGCGGCTTGGGGTTCTGCGCATCTCACGACGGCACGAACTGCGCAAGCCTGTGCCAGAAAGCAGCAGCCAAGGAAGCGGCACAAGCTGAAACGACTGCTGGATACCGAGGCAAAGGACGTCTTCTTGGCGACTGGTTTGAGTCAAAGAGGGTACGTAGTTTTAAGTTTTAAGTAGGGTAGATCTTGGCTGTCATTTAACAACTTCGAGTGATGCTAGTATCTGTCCTTTCTGGCCTTGATACAAATTGCTGCATGGACAGAAGACGAAGTCGACGAGCCCGGTGCGTAAGGATATTGTGCCGCAGAATGACATCATTATGCACTGGGCTTTACGAGTCGTGGGGCCAAAGGCTTCGCGATGTTGCTTGGCTTGCATTCCGCATGATCTTGCGGCCAAATACCCTTAAACTGAAGCCGCGACCAGCTCCAACCCGATCCGCCTTAAAGCCCAAACTCTATCCTAAAGCCCTGGAGGTTACGAGTTTGAGGCCGACGGCGTCATCATGGGCAAGCGAACGGCCCTCGACAAGGGCCTTCCCATCAGCTCACAGAAGCTGGAAGGTGCCGTTATTGTACTTACTATAATCATGTTCTGTTTTTATTTCAACCGTATTTCAACCGTACTTGCTCATTGCTACTACGTATGCTAAAATACCGTTGCTGATTAACTCATTATCACCATAAGCGCTATTACTTTAATTACTGCTAGTATTGTTGTCATATTGTCCGATTGTTGTGTTCAACCGTCCCGAACCGAAGGGCTTTCCGGTCGCTTCTTTTTCGGGCACGTTCAACCTAGCAAGGATCTCTTGCAAACAATGTAGAGCCCCCTTATCATCATTCCCTTGTCCTGTCGGGCAATAGTAGTAGCATCCCTAGTATCATCCTTCTGCATGGAGGGGGTTTGATGAATCAGCCTTTTTTTTTGGGGGGGGGTCCTCTCTTGAGGATTCTGTTACTTGGAGTTTGTATGACGGCGCCATCCCAAAACCTGGCTAGAACCCCTTTGGAGGTGTTTAGGGCTTCTGGTTTTAAGGGCCATCGCTGTGGGGCTTAGCTGGTTAGGGTTTTAGGGTTTAGGGTCCTAGGTCTTTAGGGTTTAGGGGTTCGGGGGCTCCAGCTTCGGTACTTAAGCCGCAAGTTCGAAGCAGACTTCGCACCTTTGCAGTGCTTTGATATGCATCGCTTCATCGCTTCGCAATGAAGCTCTCGTTTTGGAGGCTGGGTGTTTACCCTGGCTCTTATGATGATCGTTTTGACTGGTCCGATGTGCCCCCCACCCGGATCTGTACCCGGAACCCTGTGCCCGTTACTTACCCCACAGATGCCTGACTCTGTCTAGGGATGCGCTCGATGACACCATCGATGTTTCTACGAAGCATAGCCAAAGCACTATAAAGCCGAAACTGCATAAGTCCTTCCCTAACAACGCCATTGCTATGCAGGTCGTACAGAAAGGACGCACCGGGAGATTTCCCGATGGTGCACACAGTTCGGCGTGGATCACACCTACGATGCAGCCGGCAACAACATCTTCGGCGGGAAGAACTGCCAGGCTGCGGTTTATTACTACTACTATTATTATTATTATCACTATTATTATCATTATTATTAGTAGTAGTAGTAGTAGCAGTGGTAGTAGTAGTAGTAGTAGTAGTAGTAGTAGTAGTACGCGCTTTGCGCGTATTTGACGCCGTTGTTTTTGTGCATGCATGTGAGAAACACATGGCAGGGACGTCACTTCCGCA